CTTATCTTACTGCTCTTCATGTCTTACCACTCACTGTAACAAGGCACTCCTACTCCTCTATAAGTGATTCTCTGTCCTATTCCCTACACTAGCTGCCCAAACCTCTCCTCAAGGCTTCCACAGAACCATTTCCCTTAACTCCCTCAGCTAAGGACATTGCCTTATATATCACCAACAAAGAAGAAAAGAAAAAGAAAAAAGAAAGAAATTAAGCCCATTCAGTGACAGCACCCTCATCTAACCCTTCTTTTCTCATGCTCTTCCCTCCACTCTCTCCTCCTACATTCCAGTCTGAGTCTCTAAGAACAAACCCTTCTCAATGCTGTGATCAACACTTTTTATCCACATCATTCCATCCTGTCCCATATTGTACAAAAGACTGCTCTCCTTCCCACCCCGGCACCCATTCCGCTGGTTCCTTTACTGCTGTATACAAACATGGAAACCTCCAAGTTTCATTCAGTCTTAAAAAGTCATGATGAGATACTACCATCTGTGCATGCTTTTGTCCCATTTCTTTCTTTTCCTTTCTCACCTGACCTCCTTAAAGCAAGTCGTTTACACTTTCCTTTCATTGTCTTCTAAAACATCTGCAGTTTGGGTTCCAACTTCTTTATTAAACTGAAGCTGCTCTCTCCAAAGGTACCAACCATCTCTTACTTGACATATTTAATAGCCTTTTCTTAATCCTCATTCCTCTTGACCTCTCTGTAGCACCTAACACTGCCGATCATCTCCTTTTCATGGATTCTTTATCTTCTCGAGTTTTTATAACAGGGCTCTCTCTTGATTCTGATTATTCCTCCTCTAGTCTCCATTACTCTAACTATGGATACACCCCAAGATTCTCTCTCCACTCTTTTACTTAGTAATTTTATCAATTCTCATAAATTCATTATCACTCTCACTCACTCCAATTATAGAATCAGTTGCCTGATTTTGTCATTTCCATATTCACACCTCCCCCATATATCCCCTTATCTCCACTTATACATACATAATACTAGTTCAGGCTCTCATCATCTTTCCCCTGAAAGATGGCAACAGCCTCTCGATAAGTCAACTTGCCTGAGTTCTCTCTTCACTCAAATCTTGGCAAAGTGGTTTTCCTAACATACAGCTTTACCACTTCATCTCCTATCCCATCCCAATAAATGTCAGTATCTCCCTATTCAAATTAGAATAAAATAAACACTCTGCTCTTTGGTATCCAAAGCTCTGTACAAACTGGCCTCTCTTATCTTTCCAGGCTTCTTACACATTAATCCCCCCTTAGCATTCTCTGGTATTGCCATATTGGCTGCTGTTCCTCTACTGTCTGTTTTTTCACTTTTTTTTTTCCCCCAATGTCTTGAATGCTCTCCTGACTTAAGGTTTTCTTTTAGGCTCAGGTCAAGAATTACCTTCTGCAGGACACCTTTCCCAATCTTCTCCTCATCTCAGGTACTGCTGCCTTTCCCAGTCCCCCACTGCTAGGGCCTTACCCTATAAAATGTATAAACTGGTAACAGCTTTGTACGTATCTTTTGTAAATGTCTACATAACATATATGTTGTCTCCCCCTTAAAATATAAGCTCCTTGAAGGCAGAAACTTTTTCCTTGTATTTCTAAACTATTGTCTGGCACATACTAAGTGCATGATAAATACTTGATTGTTTGAGTATATGATTTCTGTGACCAAGAAAGAATTCTCTTAATATCTACATCTCAGATTTTCCATAAGTAAAAAAAAATAATATAGTCTATTCCTATGTACCATACAGTGGTCTATGATAAAAATTAGGGAATAAAATGTGAATTTTCAAACACACATATCTGACATAATCAGGGTACATAAAAATCTCTTTTTATTTGAAAACAGTCAGGGTTTATATTTTGTTTGAAAAAATCTGTTTAAGGATAGCATTAATTTGAGTTGCCAAACCAGAACTAGACATCTTCCTGATAACGGATTCTGTATGCTAATTCTCCATATATGGTGTCAGGGCACAGTCCTCCTACCTAGTCTATTCTCATGGAAACTTTCTCTTCCCAGACTATACCCTGTTTAACACACCTTTTTTTTTTTCTTCCCACAGACTCTAGACCTGCATTCTTAGTTTATTTTATTCATCAATTTATCTTATTGACACAGTTTATCTTATTCAACAATTATTTTTCAGTAGGGTTTATTTTCTTTTTGGCTGATCATGTAACAAGAACACAATTATGGCTACTACCCCTATGGCCCTTTTATAAGCAAGCAATGAGGTTACTGCAAGCAATAGTAAGAACATATAGGCATAAGGAATGAAATTATAGAATTATCATAAGTCTTATAGAAAAACAAAAACATAAAAACCTAACTCTGTTATCTACTGCAACATAAATAAAGTTAAGTCTTACTCATACTTGACATCCTCAATTCTGTTAAAACTCCATTCTTTTTATTGGTTCTTGTCAATTTTACCTAGCACTTCTACTTATCTTTTTTTTCTTGAGGTTAATGGTCCTTGAGGTTGAGTCCCCCTTCCTTTTCATAAGTAAATGTTATATTCTATACCTTTGACTATATTTTTTTAAAGTACTTTTTTTGGGTAGAATGCAAGAAACTCATTGGCAATACTGTGCTTTTTTTTTTTAGTTCAGAAATACTGAAATAAAACTTATCTTCAAGAAACCCAGACCTTTAGTCTTTTTGGGATCTGGATTTCTGCCAGAAACAAAGACAGATCTTATTTCAGTATTTTCTTCCTACAAAAATCCATCATTGTCATCACTGAATCCTCATATTTTGAGGTATTCTGTGGCTCAGGGACTATATTCAAAAGGACCAAGTCCAATCCTGAGAGAAATCCCTCCCAACTTGCTCTTATTGGCTTCTTATGACCCCATTCATTAATAGCTGTGATTTCAGAATATATCTGGTTGAAGGTAACAAAAGCATGTATCAATTTTAGGAGAATCATTACATACCAAATGTGTGTGTATACACAAATATATGTATGTATGTATACATATATATGTATATATATAAATTTTAAAGACTCATAAGCAAAAGTCCATAAATAAATTCAGATATCAAGTAAATAACTCACACTGATCCATAACAGCAATAATTCAATTCCTCTTCCTCTCTGGCAAGCCTTTAATTTTCTCCAGGTCTAACGCCCTACAAACTAAAAGCACCATCCTATTGTTTGGAATCCCCTTAGATGCAAAATCAAACTTAGAATTACTAATAGGGCAAACTCCCTGAAATTCTGAGCTCAGTCCTACTTTTCAGAGGGAGACATGCAGGCCCCAGAATGATAATACCACCCTTTGGTTTGGTCTCTCCTCAAAGGCGAGACTTCTCTGATATTCAATACACAGACATCCAGCCTTATGGTACTACTCTGAGAGACTGTATTCTCCAAAACTGGAAAGACATTTGTGGATGCTAAGCAGCTTACTATCTTTCATCAACATTTCCCAAACAACTCATGATAATAGCAGAGGACAAGGACCATTTCCCTTGTTTCTCATTCCATTACTCAGGTCTCCTGTCATTGCTCCTTCTGGTCCTGGAATCATAGTTCATTTTCTTTCTTTTTTTTTCTTTCTTTCCTTTTCTTTTCTTTTCTTTTCTTTCTTTGCTGGGCAATGGGGTTAAGGGAAGGTTATGGGGGTAATGGGTTTAAGCCTAGGGTCACCCAGCTAGTAAGTGTCAAGTGTCTGATCTGAGACCGGATTTGAACTCAGGTCCTCCTGACTCCAGGGCCAGTGCTCTATCCACTGCTCCACCCAACCACTTCATTTTACAGAAACGTTAACTGAGGTCATCCTAATTCTAAAATAGCAAATTCATATCCCTTGTCTACAAAATGTGTTTTAAATACATATTCCTATTCTATCTATTTGAGGAAATGGCTTCATAATATCTATATTTTCAGGGCTATGCTATGTGGCAATGCCTGATGATTTTTACTGCTAAAAACAAAGTAACATACCAGGGTAAAATAATAGCCATGGGAAAGTCAGAAATTAAGTTTTGAAAAAAAATTAAACATTTTAAAAAATTAAAGAGAGAAATTTCTGTTTTTGTTTTCCTTAGGATCAAAACTGAAAACCATTTACTGAGTGGTATATAAAGACCAACTCAGAGTTAGAAAATATTAGATATCAAAGTATGAGTACTGAAAAGTTTTTCTACAAGATGAAGACTGCTTTTAAATATCAAAGGGAAGAAAAAAAACTTTCAACTCAGAGAATTTATATTGTTTCACTTTCTTGGATTCTGTGGATTTTTACCCATCTTCTAAAAAGTTTTAATAATAGAGTCATTTCTTTCTGAATGAAAGGTACTATAAAATTTTGCTCCTAAACACGTGATTGTATCATTGAACCTTAAAACTAATCCAGTTAAATAAAGTTAAATGCAAAATCTCACTTCTGCAATAATCCCCCACCACTGCCATGTCAACTCCAAGACTAGCTAACCCCAATACAGTGGTCAAATTAATGCAAAATTACAGATTTTAAACTGGGTTATGATACCTCACCCTGGGATCAGTATTACATAAATGCTACTGAAGCAGCATATTCAAGGAAATGATTCAGAGACAAAATTAAACATAAGTGAGCAATCAATAAGTAGTATAAACTCTAAACAACATAGGAATAAAATAGATGTTTTTAAACCAATTTAATTTTTGTAGAACATGAAAGTAATAACTTTTGAAGCACTGGATTTCTAGCCACTTAGATTAAATACTTGGACATCTTTAAAAACCTAATCAAATTATGTAGAGTATATGGCAAATGAAATAAATTTTCTGAACACAGAGGATTTAAAGATTAAAGTGGTCAAGTGCCACTTCAAGTTTAATCCATTTTTTCCAACAAATGATCTTCCTAAAATGTTGTATATCTGGTTCAATATAGAACACATCACTAATTTAAAGAACCGAGTAACCATTTTCAGTTCATTTTTTTATCTGTATAGAAGCAAGCATTGAACACAGAACAACAACCTTACCTGACATGCATTATAAAGCAGCTGATGTTCCAATTTTTTTATACCCAGGATTTGTTGAAACATTTCATAAAGTTGTTCCTTGCTCAATATAAGTTCTGACACAGCACTGAGTGCCATTCGATTTGGCTGTTTGCACAGGTCCTCTTCACCTTTATAGATAGCATCATATTTGGCTATCCATGAACTCAGCACTGTCTCTTTGCTCAAACCATCAATTTCTGGCAAACTCCGTACCCTCTTCTCAATGTTTTTCTTGAATACATCTCTGAAGTCATTAGCAGAACACCCTCCACTGTGAACCATTCTGGCTACCCGATCACTCTTAAGGAAAACCTAAAAGAAAAGGTAGAAAAAGGCACATAAAATTAAATATGCACGCTAGTACCACTGTTCAACAATACAAAAGAATTCAAAGAAGAGTTTGGCATATCATAAAAGTGTTTTATAATGATTACAGTTTGCTTGAAGATTTATTCAATGCATTTTCAGTTCAATTCAAAACAATGGACACTAAGAAGCTATTTTGTGCAAAGCTCCATGCAAAGACACCACAAATTCATTTCATGAACAAATAGAAATATTTTGGTCCAAACTGTCCAAACTGTGGATAACAATTATGGGAATCTTCTCTTCTGCATGTATATCTCTGAGCAAATGGAGTATAAGGAAAAGGACAAGAAGAACTATAGAGTGAATCCTAGCTCCAACTTTGGCACATTCAGAAAATTTCTCATGTAGGGACTTTGTGGTTGCTAGAATAATCACCGAAAGCATAGAGAGGCAAATAGTAGAATATCCACACCTATATTCCCAAAATGAGTACAAGTATCAGTAGTGTGGGATCAGGAATCAAGATCTCTTCATAGATTAAGGGAGCTAACATGGATTTAGGATATACTTGTTGTTTAGTCTTTTCAGGCATGTCCAACACTTTATGACCTCATTTGGGCTTTTCCTGGCAAAGACACCAAAGTGGTTTGCCATTTCCTTCTCCAGCTCATTTCACAGATGAGGAAACTGAGCCAAACAGCATGAAGTGACTTGCCCAGGTCATACAGCTAGTAAATAAATGCCTGAGGTCAGATTTGAACTCAGGAAGACGAGTCTTCCTGCCTTCAGATTGAGTACTCTAACCACGGCATCATATAACTTCCCCCAGGATCTATTTACCTTCTAAAAATCCTAGGGAATATATGTTTTTATAAAGGCAGTACCTCTAGATTCACTCCTGCTACAAGAAGTTGCCAGTAAACTACCCAGAAATAATCCAAAACAAATAATGACAGATACCATAGGGAAGCTTTCCTTCTCAGAAGCGGTAAGTAAAATACCAAGATAATCAAGTCAAGTCATGGATCACAAGACACTCTAGAATATTCTTCAATTCAGTTCAAATCAATTCAACTCAGATGTTTCCTAGTTATCTATGTTCAAAGCACAGGAAGTCAGTACACGTTCATTAAGCATCCTTTCTGCTGAATTAACACTTCTCCTAACACAAAGATTACACAATGTAATGTTTATTCTCTCAACTCAAAAACTAATTTTAAATACATATATATTAAACACACATACAATACCTACCATGTGCAAGGTATTATTAATATGAAGATCCAAAAACAGTCTTTGCTCTAAAGAAATGCACAATACAAATGGGGGGGGGGGTAATACATTTATCCAAGTAAGATACAAGCTGGAAAGTAATAAGTAGAAAGGAGAGATATAAACAAAATACAATGAGAACTCTGATGAGAAAGGTGTCACTTTCAGGTGGGAGGCTCAGGGACAGTTTTGTGAAGGAGGTGGCAACTGAACTGGACACTAAAGAACAGAATGATTTCAAATATGTGGACAAACAGAAACATTCCAGGCATAAGAACTGTAGAACAGTAGAACGAAAGTAAAGAATGCCTTAAAGTGATTTGTTTGGAACACAGCACGCGTAAAAAGGTTAGCTGTTGTTTCAGTCGTATCTGACTTTTTGTGACCCCATTTGGGGTTTTCTTGGCAAAGATACTGGAGTGGTTTTCCATTTTCTTCTCTAGTTCATTTTACAAATGAGGAAACTGAGGCAAACAGGGTTAAGGGACTTGTCCAGAGTCACACAGCTGAGGCCACATTTGAATTCAGGAAGATGAGTCTTTCTAACTTCAGGACCACCACTCTATCCACTGTGCCATCTATCTGACCTGTAAAAGGATATAATATCAAATATTGAAAGAAGGGTAGGTTAAAAACAGATTGTGGAAGATCTTGAAAGTCAGACACGTAAGTTTGTCCTTTATTCTGTAAGTTGCAGGGATCCCCTGGAGGTTTCTAAGTAGGTTAGTGCCTTGGTCAGATCTCTGAATTAGAAAGTTTACATAGCAATGTAAGGTTGAAGCCTATTTCTGATGATGACTTATACCAAAGATATGAAGCCAGGGATATCATTCAGGAAATGCATGATTGGAAAAGTAGGTGGGTATAATCAGGAAGCAAGAGTAAGGATTAACAGATGGATGACCTGAGTGTTGTCCTGATAAGACCAAAATATAAAAAGACCTTAAACAATTTCTCCAACATACTGGATAGGTCATTTGTAGAGGACCTATGGAAGATCATAGGCAAGAGTCACACAGGAGAAGGTATGGATAGTAGTGATCTCCATCCATAGAGAGAATATTCAAATTGATGAAATTACAGATGGACTGTTCTTCCTTTGTACTTAAAAACTAAGGTATACTGCATATGTAATAAAAGATGGCAAAGTAAGGAGTTCTCAACCTCTTTCTCAGACTCCACACCACCTTGAATCAATAAGCAACATGTCAGATGTTAACTGTAGTAAGATGAAAAATATTCCCACACAAGAGACCTTCTGAAATGATAGATGGGAGGCTGAGTAACAAACTCACTGCCCTGGTCCACATCCTATGTGACTTACTGTCTAGGCCACTATTTGGGACTCTGACTCAAGTAGATTCTAATGACATTCCCTTAGCAGTGACCCAAACTGAACCCTTACATCTACTCTTTTAAAGTAGGCAGAGGAAGAGAGGGGAGAGCTTAGAGCACTCATGTAGTCCAGTGATCATGTACGGTGAACAACTATGGGGAAGGTCCAAGAGGAAGGGGAAGGGGCACCAATAGTACAGATACAATCTTCTCTACCAAGGGAAGGCAAGAGAATATAAATCTAGCTACAGTCATCCTTACCATCCCACTATACTAGTGAAGTTTTCCATGGCAAAAAAGTAAAAATTTTCCCTCAACTCTCAACCCAAGGAGGGCTCTGGAATCATCCAACTTAAGTTGTCTACACTGAAGGCAGAGGTTGGAGGTGGGGGAAAATGGGCCAGGACAAAAAGAGCTAACTCTGATACAATAATAATAGAAGAGGAAGGAAGGACAGCAAGAAGACTGAGAGAGAAAGCTTGGAAATGAGACAATCTTCCAGTTATGAAAAACAAACAAACAAAAAACAGCAGTTAGACTCCTGTAAAAGAGAACATGAGTAGAAAGGCCAGCAAAGTCACAACACAATGAAGAAATAGTATCCTGTAATGGGAAATAGACTTTCCAATAAAAAAGAAATCAAAACACAAATTCTATGGGTACATTTGTGGGGGTTGGAGAGAAGGAAGCAATTATAGCAAGATAGTTTGGCACTGGTTGAAAGAGAAATAAAAATAATCAAGGGAGGCAAGGATGAAAATAAGATGGATTTGGGGAGAAAACTGGGGCTACCAAAGAAGAAGTTAATAAGGCAAATGAGAAAGTAGGCATTTAAAACACATAATGGAGAAACTCTCCCAGGTAATCGATGCTCTGGGGGAAAAAAAGAGGCTGATATGAAACTCAAAAATATAGATGTAGAAGAAAATTTATCAAAAATGAGTAAAACAGCAAGAGCACTGTTAGATTTATACAAGTCGGATTAAACAATCTTGAGGATAAGAAGTGAAGGGCTAACTTAAAAGTAGTAGGTCTACCAGAACACACACACACACACACACACACAGAAATAAAAGGCTATGTATCATAATGCAGAAAATAACACTCATCAGAAAATTACTCAGACCTCAACTGCATTGCAAAACAATAATGATAAAAAATTTAGTTATATTTTTTTTAAATGGAAAAATAAATCAGAATAAATCAAGTAAGCATTAACAAAAATAAATTAAATACAGCAGTTTAGTATTTAAAAGACCCAAGAAAACAAACTAGTAAGTGAAATACTTTTGAACAAAAGGTATAGGAAAACTAGAAAAAAGTTTGGTAGGAATTAGATTTAAATCAGCATTTTGTACCCTATACCACAGCATATTCTGAATGAATACCTGACATAAATATAAAAGCTAACATAACACAAAACTTAAAGGAGGATTTTGAAACACCTTTCATAACTGTGAGTAGTGGGAATATTAATATCCAGTTAAGGGCTAGATATTTTAAAAAAAATAGAAAATTGTGATATGAAATTAAAAAATTCATAGACAAACATAGCTTGAAAATAAATGAAATTTGTCAAATAGGAAAAAAAAAACTTGGCATTAAATATAGGTAGAATCTCTGCCTATCTAGGTGGCACAACAGATAAGAGTACTGGGCCTGAAGTCAGTAAGACCTGAGTTCAAATCTGACCTCAGACACTTACTAGCTGTGTGATCTTGGGCAAGTAACAACTGTTTGTCTCAGTTTCCTCATCTGTAAAAAGTGAGTTGCAGAAGGAAATGGCAAACTACTCTAATATTTTTGCCAAGAATATCCCAAAGGGGGTCATAAAAAGTCGGATATAACTGAACAACAACAACAGCAGAATCTTTGCTAGAATTCTTACGTCAAAATATATGGGGATTTGACACAAAAATATGGAGAGGGATTATCAATCGATTAGAATATATTTCTTCATCTGTAGAACACAGACGTGTATATTGTCATCTTGTTAAGAGGGTAACAGACAATTTCTTATTGGCTTCCAATAAACAGAGCTACTCTCAATTTGACTGGCTGGCTGGAACCTTGGAGTAAAGAAAGGATTATAGGGTGCCATTTGACCTACGATTTATCTGTTGGCACTTTGCCTTACTGGACTACAAGATATGGGCTAAAGCAATGAAAATACCCTTTAATGTCATAATTATTAATGGAAGAGAAGTAGGCAGACATAGACCATATTCTCTTTGAATTTTAACACCTGACATCTGAGTTCTACCAAGAAATTAGGCCTTTCTTTTTATATGCCAGAAGGCAGGTAGGTGGTGCAGTGGATAGAGTTGTCAGTATGAAGTCAGGAAGACTTATCTTCCTGAATTCAAATCTGGCCTCAGACACTTATTAACTGGGTG